TTGTTAAAAACTGTAAGTCCAATTGCTTTGATACTATACATATTGTTCATTTTCTAATGATGTCTTCAGTTCTTTAATTGAAATGTGCATTGCTAACAGCGGAGCTATCTCAGCCAATAGGCTGCTTGTTCCTGTCTCAGTTTCTAGTTTGGGTTGTTGCTGCTGGGCGGCATTCGACATTCTAAGCAGGTAGGCGTCGGCCAGAGCTGGGGGCTTGGATGATGTACCGCCGTTATGGACAATCAAGTTGTGCTAAAGACACAAATCAGGTTTCTCGCCTAGAACCAAATCCCAGGACACGATCCATACCCGATCGTCATCCTCAGGCTGTCAAATTTTGTGACGGAGAGAAAGGAACCAGAGTGATTGTCCAGCCGATAATGGCGCTGCCATATGGCCTCGGTCACGTGGTTTGTAACGTAAGGGAAGAGAATCTTGGGGTCATGGGGCTTCCCCTGACCTAGATTCTATCTCTTCGTCACCGGCAGAATCGCTGATTAATGCCTACAGTTCAAAATAGTCATTTTGACTGACCGGAGTCTATGGTGGGTATGAACTATGTGAATAGACGGGTTCGGAGAACCCTCTGTCTAAATTGCTTATATTGTATGCTGCGTAATTAAATAATTTTGACCATAGATATATCTTGCTCATTTACATAATTGTATGCGCGACAAATAGAGGAGATATGGTATAATAAATAAATAAATAAATAAATACTGGCGTTATAATTTGTAGAAATTCATACCATATTTGCTATATTAGTAAATGACAGGAGTGTATTTATGGTGAAAACAGGTTTTATTTTTAATATTTTTGTGTGTGCAGATTTTTATGCGCAATTCTATTGGAGATGCACTTCAAATAAAGCAAATATAGTCCTTTTTTCAATAATAAGGACATTTTTCTTTGCCAATGCAGACTGTCTGTCGCTAGTTGATATGTTTTTCATCCAATATTAATATGATATATGATCAATCATCATTCCAGGAAAAAAAAGACAAAGAAATTGAAGCTGAGCTATCTTATCGATGCTGGAAAGAAAAGAAAGACGAACAATTGAAGAAACAGGCCAGAAAAGAAGCTAAAAAGAAAGAGATGGAAAGAGAGAAACAGATAGAAGAGAAATCTGATAAAAAATCAATATCAGAAAAGGTAAATTGACATTAGTTTGTCGATCATGATTGAGTTGCTCATTCGCAGACACTTAACTGATTAAAAATGTCACTTAATTATTGATTTGGTCAAATTTTGATTGGCTTTAGACAGTACAAAATATGTATTTAAAGTAAAACATTGGAAAAACTGAACTGAACTGAACTGTTAATGCTTATTTTATAGAGAAATGAATATTATCATTTTTCGAATAAATTGTGACAACCAAAATTACAAATTTTGAAATATGATGAAATCTATTGACTGTGAAATACAATGGTGAATTGTTCAAAAATCTTTATTGTGTGTTTGTGATAAAAGTAATATGGTGATTATGTTTTTTACTCTGTGTCAAACAAATGTATGTCCACATGTTCATTTCTTGCTGTCTGCACTGCAACAAATGTGTTAAATGGGTAACTGCTTTATTCACAGACATACGTTTCATGGAAATCGACTAAAGATGAAGATCTCAAAGAGAAACAGAGAAAGAAGAAACGGGAAGAAGAAAAGAAACGCATTAAATTACAAGAAGAACAGAATGAAAAACAGAAACTATCGAAGAGTTGTTTTAAAAAATGGTATGTGTTCTATACATCAGTGTTCCATGACAACTGTGATTTAAACATTTTTAACATGTGAGCTTATTTTTGTTTTTATAGCAGTGACAATTTCATCTCAAAGTTTGTCTATAATTAATCGTTTATTATTAGCCACTAGTATATGGACTTCTTTTGCTCACTGTCAAACTGTTGTTTGAGAACAACTGTCATTAAAAAAATGATAAAATACATTTTGTTTATGAATTGTGATTTTTATTTCATATTTTTCGTCCTTTCACATATGGCAAAATAAAGGAAATAACATTTTTTTATGTAAAATCTGATTATATGTACCATTGCAGGAATTCTAATAAAGAAGTTGAACTTCAAAAAAAGGAAGAAGAGAAAAAGCAACAGGAAAAAGAGAACAAGAGGAAAGCACAGCAGGAAAAGAAGAAGAAAGAGGAGGAGAGTTTGAAGGCATATGACAAGTGGCAACAACAGAAAGAAAAGCAGCAAGAAATAGAAAAGAATACTATTAGGACTCCTGTAGCGACTGTACCATTCAAACCTAGTGGTAGAACTGTACCATTTGGAAAGTAATACAGCACTTATCTTGTGCTATATAGAGCTTGTAGCTTTAATATGATTCTAATGGTACTATGAGATTACTATATATATACAGGGAAGAAGTAAAGCAGGGTACCATGGGAGATAGCCATATAACTATAAAGAAGTTGTGAGGCATGGTACTATGGGATTGCCATATAACTATAGGGAAGAAGTAAAGCAGGGTACTATGGGAGATAGCCACATAACTATAAA